CCTCCTTCGCATGTGCGTAAATAAACAAACGGAGAGGCAGGAGCAGAGCCGGCAGCCAGTGGAAATACCGGAATGCCAGCCAGGACTCCCGGAGCCTGCTAAGTCCTGCGATCGAGTGTTTACCCAAGGCGTTGCCAGCTCCGAATGAAATACACAAAGCACACTTTACGGCTGCCTTGGCTGTAAAGGAATTTAATGTGCAGTTTATGCAAAGCGAGATCCCTGCACAGAACCAGCAAGTATCCTATAAATATCCATCAAGGTCAAAGCGATGATGACTCCGATCGATTTTTAAGTTCGGAAATAGATTAATTAATGTCCAAAGACATGCAAAGGAAAGCAATGTATCATGATAAAGTGCATTCTTTTGATCACTACAAATAAAGATTTCAAATCACGTTTGGTATTTGTTTTCCCTGTGTTTACCACTGACTCCGCCGGATTAATCATAATTGCACAAAGCCAAGTGGAAGCAGCCAGGACTCTCGCTTCGTTAAGGGTATCGGCAGCCGCCGTCTGGCCCTGTGTTGTTGTCTAGCCGATGATTTGCCAATTTCGCCAGGCGCTGTCTGTACTGTTTGGCTTGTTTACATAAAAATATTGCCAAGGCGAGCACGACAAACGAAGGCGATGACGATAGCAATGACTATGATGAGGACGATGGCGGCGGGGGCCAGGGAAAAACATAATGAGGCAGACAACGGAGCAGACGGAGAGGGGGAAAAGGATAAAAGGCACTGGGGAGGGGGCCAGACTTTCCCGGCTTTGCAGTTTCAGCCGAATGCAAGTGATGGTGAAAAAATGCCAGACAAAGTGGCAAATAGACGTAAATGCGTGACTTTCACTTTGATGTCGCCAGCGGGAGGGAAGGAAGGAAGGAAGGACCTTAAACCAGACAACCGTCGATTTGACCGAAGCTAGTTCTTCATTCCGGCAAAATGCGCTGCTGCTCTGTTTGCATAGACACAGGCACGTGCCATTTCCCCGGGCTGCTCCCTCGATCCTGCCGGATCGGAAAAGCGGACAAGTGCAGCTGTAAAAGCTGCGAAGTAAGCAATCAGACATGTTTTTTCTTACCCGAGTGAACTCAAGTGCGATGAGAGTCCGAAAAACAAGACATTAAGGGTTGCCTTCTGAAAAGGCTGCAACACCGCACCTCAAGGTCTACTAAGACGAGTCAGATGCAGATGCAGAAAGTTCTCGGAGAACTGGGAGTGCCAGACAGGTGGCAGGTGACACTCCTTGGGGCGCCTTGCTGCACCGGAGAGATAGGGCGAGCGCACCCGAAAAACTAACCGGAGACATGGAAATCTTGGGCGGACAGCCGGACAGGCTTATCATGCCCGCTGTCGGGGCTGTGAAATGAGTGCAGGGCACCGGCGACCGCAGGACATGTGAGCGGGTAATCAGAACCTCAAGCTGAAGTCCTGCCACTTGCACTTCGCCGCAGACAAGCTCCGAGATAATGAAGCGTAAAGTGCAAAGAAAAGCGAGCTGGCGAACGGGGGGAAATATAGAAATGTTGGGCCAGACTTGGAAATAAAAGTTGCCCGAGCCAAATTGTGTGTAAATACTTAAAAAGTCGTTAGGGATGGTCAAAAGCAGCGGCCAGAGACACCGAACCCAGTTTACATATATATATTTATGGAGGAGAGGAGCCAGGGAGAGAGGCAGCCAAGTGAAAGACTTTTAATGAGCAGTCGAGTTGACGTCATCATCATTAAAAATATGCAAGCTGCGATTCCGATGATTGATTGGGCTCTGTTTGCTCCTCCTGCAGCTGCCATTAAGTGCGCCTGAAAGCGCGCAGCCATAAATTTGCTTAATCAAACTATTTAGCCAGCCTCTGGATGTGGCCGTAGATGCGGCTGTGCATATGGATGTCACGCAGGGGAAGTCAAGCTGCTGCTGTTACGGCTGCCACGGCTCCATTACGGTTACGGGTGCAAAGTCCGGACTCCGAACAGGGCTCGCCGTAACGAGCGCCTCACATGTGTTGCACGCTTTTAGGCGCTGCTCAGACGACACACATAATCCTAATTAATTGCCGGCATCGGCATCAGCATTCAGGCAGCAGGAACCAACCAGCAGCCGAGGCATCCTGCTGCCATCCCTCCAAGCCGCCGCCAGGGAATCCGCAGCGAATGCATTCTAGCAGGTGCATGTGAGCACTTCGTGCGCGCCATTTACCCATCGAGCATTTGTGCGGGAAAGGGGCCACCAGGTGCACCGAGAGAAAGAATTCCTAATCTTTGGTTGGGATTATTATTGATAATAAATGGGAATTGAAAAAATATAAAGAGCTTACTTCGTTTAGGATTTTTTCCGTGCTTTAAACAACACTGAAAACTGAAGAGGGATAAAATATTTTATACCTTTCTCTAAATATCCCTTAAAACTGTATTGAATATATACACTCCTTTCCAAGGCATATCTAACCGCAGGACACCTCTGTCATGGCCTGTATTTTCTCCCCGTGTGCCTGTCAGCGCCCCGATTCCCCCAGCCTCTCGATACCCCTCGTTTCGTGCCAGTGCGCCATTATTTCCTTTTGATTTGCTTTGGCTGCAAAAGTCGTGGCGTGTTGAATGTCGTTCTAGAGCGGGGCAAGCGACGCATTTCATGCACTCGGCTGAGCTTTCGAGTTGCTTAACGCGTTTGATGTTTGCTGCCCCTGCCCCTGCCGCTGCCTCGTCTCCTCTCGGGCTGTCCATAAAATTTAATGCATGCTGCGAGTGTGACAGCCCGGCGGGCCTAGGGCGTACACATACAGGAGCCCCAGTATCCCCCATAATCCTTAAAAGGCGACGACAATCCGCAGGGAGACAGCGCAGGCATTTCTTTAACTTTCAAGCCGAAAAGGACAAGTGAGGGGCTTTTGTCAGTAGACGGATAATTGGGTTTCACGCGGGGAATTAAATTCAAAGAGTTCTCCTTTAAGAACCGGAAACGCGGCCCTGCGATTGAGCTGCCGCCGGATCATTCCCGGGGGAAACAAACACCAGAGAAAAATGGCAAAAGTTTTTCGACCCGGGAAGGGGGAGCAATAAACCAGCCACAATAATCGATGCCAGAGTCGAACATCGAAGTCCTGCCCGGTTGCCTTGGCCAATTTCCCTTTGGCCAGGGAAAAGGCTTAGGGGGCCAAGACGGAAAAAAGGGACGGCCTTCCCGGAGTGTGCAACACAATTTTAATTAGTTTGGAAAAGTATTTTAATTTTTGCAATTTGAGTGCCACACGGCGTCCCAAAAAGACAGAGGGAAAAGGCTCAAATCTTGGGACCACACTCCCCCGACCGGCCCCCAAAATTATTTTCAAATTCCCGTCTTTAATGATTATTAACATTATTAGTTGTAATGAGCGGTCTTAAAGTTGGCAAATGGCAACAGAAATTCGCCGGCTATTCAAAGTGCGTTTAACAAAAACCGAGCAAAAAAACAGAAAAACAAGAGGCGCGGTTAAACAAAAAAAAGTCCTAGCAAAACGCAGAGAAAGTTGAAAAAGTTGTGAGAAATTTTTGCAATTATTTTTCTGTTTTAATGTAATAGTGGACCCGGGCTCAGCCTTTTTTTATAATTTTTTCCTGCACGTTCTACGCTTTCAAACAAAAAAGTTTTTTTAAACTATGTGGCCGGAGCCGTCTACGGATCTCCAGCTCTCCGGTTCTCCCGACTGACTGGCCAGTTTAGTGGTTGCGTCGGGCACGCCGGGAAATATGCTTTGATTTTTGGCCAGGCCATTGCGTGGAATGCAGTGTTCGAATTGTTTGGACCATGGTTTTGTGCGGACTTTTTGCACCCAAATTCGCTCTTCCCTACATATAGATTTTATTTTTGGATATGCCAAAGTTTTCAAATAAAAGGCACCGCCTTTTGACCGAAAGTTTTGCGGTTCTGGGTGGCGGCGGCCTCTCCGTTCCGTGATTAGTGATTGAGTTTGGTCTTAGCCTTGCGCCGGAACTTACCTAGAAAGAGAACAAAACAAATGGAAAAACTGTTAGTTCAAGTTGGCAACAAGGTGATGTTATTAAAGAGAGTCGGAATCAGCTTATCAGGACGCTTTCGGCTCGAATTCCCCTGGCAAAACTGACAACGAGTGAGTCCGCTTTGCGGGCTACCCAGAGCATCCCGAACTTAATTACACACAACTCATTTGTCGCACACAAAAACAAGTCCCCGAATACGCCACATGGGACTCCATCGCCACGTCGTCTGGGAAATGGAAAATCCGAAACGAAACCAGACGAGAGGCGACACGTGACACATGGCAGGGCGGGCACGTTGGAAACAGGATCCGGAGCCGAAATCAACAAGGAGCCAGTCAGCCGTGGCCCCGACTCAGACTTTTGTTTATATGTCATAAAAATTACTCATACGTTAATAATTTAAACGGATGGCTGTTGATGATGGCCAGCTCGGAGGCGTCTGCAAATTTGCTTTGGCCATATGAAAGCCTCGGCTAGCTCGGAATCAATGCGAAATGAAAACCAAACAAGCCCAAGCTCCCCACATCCTGGCGATGTCCCTGATCAAACACAAGGCCACCACCACTGGCACCACCTCAAGCTTGTTTGCTTTGATGCCCGATGATAAGTTTCGTTATCATGTCGGAAAATTCATAACCATGGCAATGACAGACATTGAGCAAATCATCTGATGTCTGTGGGTATTTCCCCACACGCTAGTGTGTGCGCAGGGCGGTGGCAAATTCATTATTTCATCAATAAAACAACACGCCAATCAATACTGTGCGATGTCCTTGCTATTTGCTTTGGCTACTCTGCCGGGCAGATACCCTTGAGTAAATATTCGGCATATGTGTGCCATCATTATATTTATTCATGAAGCGATATTAGAAAAGCGATATGGAACTTAATTTGAACTTGGGAATCTTACTCCCTTTCAATATTTTTATTGACTATGCTATGACTGCAAAGGAATAGTTTAGCCTCAAAATTATTCAGGTCTTTGAACCCAGTAGATAATAAGAAATAATTACGTAAATATTAAAAGCCATTCCTTTAACTTGTTTATTGGTTTATTCTTAAAATATTAATTTAGATCATGAATTGTAAATGGTCTTATATCACAATTGCGCCTCATCCGAATATCGTCGCACGTTTGAGCTGTCTGGCTGCTACTAAAAGAGGATATCGTCTTCGTTGAAGTTCCGTCCCAAGAAAGGCAGATTGAAAGGCAGTATTTTTCGCAGCCGTACCCGCAACCCGTTGGTTGTTAATGGAGTCAGGTCGGGGTACCGCTGCTGCTGAAGAAAGCTGCTCTGCAGCCGTGAGAATCGTTCTGGGTGGAGTCTATGTGTAAATGAACTTCCTGTACATACAAGCGACTGTCGATGGCCAAAGGATCGCTCTCTGTCATCCCGTCTCTTCAGTTTCGGGCAAACTGAAGTGATGGGATCACAGAAATCATCCTGAGAACATCCGTTCGCGAAGGTAGGTAGGCGGAAGATGCCTTTAAAGCCGGGGAACACCCTGTTCTCGTCCATATTCCCTATTCCCGATTCCTTTCTGAGTTCGCTGAGGCTTTCCGCCCAATCCGACATACTATGTTCTTCTCCTACACACTGGCCCAGACCCTTTTTGCTTTCCAGCCTTCTGAGTTTCTCCTCGGCACATGTCTTCTGCCTATCAGCCGTCCCATTCCAATTCTTCAGGTCGAGAAATTTAAATTTTCTTGACAATTCTACAGCCACGCACTTGTCTGTCTCTTCTTTCATAGTCCCGCCATTTTCTTTATTTTCGTCAGCGGACTTTGTCTTCGGGTCATCTTCCTCACATATTTCGTTTAACAGCTGCAACAGTTTCTTCATTAAGCCTTCATATTCGCAGTTATTTAGTTCGTTTTTATCATCGGTTTTAAATTTCTCACTGGGTTTCTTATCATTTTCAGCACCTTTAGTGTTTAGATCCATTTCTTCACATTTCCTTCTAAGGGCCATTTCTTCACATTTCTCCCTTAGGTCCATTTTTGCACATTCCTTTTTCCCTTTCTCATCCTTCTCAGAGCATTTCCTTTTTAGGTCCACTTCTTCACATTTCTCTTTTAAGGCAATTTCTTCACATTTCTCCTTCAGGGCAATTTCTTCACATTTCTCCCTTAGGTCCATTTCTGCACATTCCATTTTCTCTTTCTCATCCTCAGAGAATTTCCTTCTTAGGTCCACTTCTTCCCATTTCTTCGTTAGGGCACTTTCTTTACATTTCTTCTTTAGATCAATTTCTTTACATTTCTCCTTTAGGAGAATTTCTTCACATTCCTTATTCTCTTTCTCATTCTTCTCAGCACATTTCTTCCAAAGCTCCATTTCTGCACGTTTCTTTTTTGTTCTCTTATCGTTCTCCGCATACTCTTTGTGTACATCATTTTCTGCATATTTCTTCTTTAGATCCATTTCTTCACATTTCTTACTTAGGTCAATTTTTGCACCTTTGTGTATATCTTTCTCATCTTTTTCAGCGCGTTTCTTTCCTAGGCCAAATTCTTCAAATTTCTTCATTAGGTCAATTTTTTCACATTTCATTTTTTCAGCTCGTTTCTTCTTCAGGGCCATTTCTTCCAGTTTCCTCTTTAACTTTATTTGTGAACATTTCGTCCGCTGAATCAGTTCTGTAAGCTCAAGTATCGCACATTTTCTTCTAAATTCTTCTTTTACGCATCTCCCTTTAAGATCATTTATATTTTGTATTTGTTCTGCACATTTCTTCGCTGGACCTTTATTTGAATTCAATTTACCATTATCGTTAGTACCCTTGATAGGCTCCTTTTGTTCCTCATCTCTGAATTCCCTTTCAATGTCATTTTTAGCGCATTCTTGTTTAGGCTTTTCTTTGTCAGTTTTCTTTTCAATTTCGCTTTTGATATGCTGGCACTGAATCGCAATATCGTTGATTTGCTTCGCGATTGAGCATAGTTTATTATTCAAATTACTAAGTCTGCTCCTGAACATTCCATCATTGGTCTTTCGCCTTGGATCTTTACTTTTCTTTACCCTTTCTGGACAATTACTTTGATCGATTTGCCCAGTTCCTCCAGATTTCCCTCCTGATTCGTTTTTACAACTTGACTCGCAAATTTCCTGATTCTTATCTGGATGAACCTGGATGTAGTTCCTAAAGAACTCTTCAGCGATTTCACCTACATTTTTGTCTTTTTCCTGGTAGGCTTTCCCGCTTCCGGGTTCATTCATCATTTTGTTATGAACCAAAAAGAAGCACTTGGATATCATTTCGGCTACCCGAAATTGCCACTCATCTTTATCATTTAACCTTGTAACCCAATCTTTCTTGAACGATTCTTCATCAGAGAGTTCCCAAAGGCGTCTGTGGATGTCATTTTTCAACTGGTTGAAGATCGCCGCGTGGTTGTCTTGTAAAGTATTTTTCGAATAAATAATCTTCATGTCAGATTTCCAATTGGGAGAGTTAAGACTTGGCATTAGAATGCTCTTAACTTCCCCATGAATCGCCTTGCTGTTAAGTTGATCGTCGCTTACTAGGTTTAATATTTCTGGTTGGCCCATTTCCTTCTTAACATTTTGGCTGCGCCTGGTGAACTGATAAGGCATGGGTTCAAAGGGTCGTACCAGTCTATGCGCTCGCCAGCGACTAATGGTTTCCCTTTTGATACAACTCAACAGACTCTTCTCACGGGCTCGAAAGTTATCCAATGATACACGAGGCTGTGGATATTCCTTCGCAGCCTCTCCAAACTTTGCATATCTTGGTCCTGCCCTTAGCATTGAGTATTCCGAACATTGGTTTTGTCTTAGTGGAGCTTTTGGGGGAGGAGGCGAAGTAATTGATCGCGTTGGAGGAATCTTATCTAAAACTTCTATTGCCCCCTCATCCTTGCTAAAGGTTAAAGGGATTAGTACTTCCTTTTTTGATCCGATAATCTCGTTTAGTTCAACCATTGACTTTGGATCTTTGGAGCATTGTGTATGACTTAGTGTTGCTTTGGGTGTGTTTTGGTCCTGTTTATCAGTAATCGTCCTTGTTCTTATACCGCTTGTCTTTTTCTGAATTTGTGTCATATAGTGGTTCTTGTAGTGCAATATTTTTGCCTCATCTTCTGGCGACTTTACCCTTTCCAAGTCTGCGTTTTTACCCTCCAGCAACTCTGCTCTTACCCTTTTAGACTTTTCCAAGATAATGGCGACCCAATGGTTGATTGGATTCCTCGGTTTCTGGCTGTGCAGGGACTCAACTTCCTCAGAATCGGAACTTGATGGAACGTCTTTCGGTGCTTGCTTCCTTCTTGTTCGATGGGGCGATTTCCTTCTTAGCTTCACCCTAATTTGGTTTCGAACTTGCTTTGCTTCGAAAATGCCAGGCTTGATGACGTGATCTTCCACCAACTCCAGCAAGCTTTGTCTGGTTTTATGTTGCAGGAGTCGTTTGCTGCTATCCGGCACTGATGTATCCATTTTTCCTTTGACCGTGTCCTGGTGGTAGACTCGACCCATTATATTTTGCTGGCAGACTTCCCTGGGCCAACTAGATGTTCTGATCCGGATGCTGCGATTTGGCACCACAAGGGATACCTGCTGTCGAACCTGTCTGACCCCAGTAGCCGGACCTGTCCTATTCAGATCGCTGCTCAGGATATCGCAGGCCATTGGAGGAGCGGAGTGAAAGTTGGCAAGAGCTTGGGAAACTCCGAAGACTCCAGAGCTCACCGGCGGTATCGATGGACTTAGCCGGAGACCGAATAGCAAGCGCTGCACCTGCGAGGCTACGCATCTGCGAAACATGCCAAGGACTTCGGTTTGGGGCGCTGCGATTGCCAAAGAATTTTGATGGTTACTAAATAAAACAAAGGGCTAGTAAACGTAAGGCAGTCACAGGTGGTTTTATTTTTTGTTTAAACAAAGCGATAGATAACTCATGAGTGACTGAGGCTAAAATATAAATTTACTGCATACAGATTTGGATACAAGCGGAAGGCCATGGGGACTATGATGCTGATGGCATGAGCACCAACCAAACATGCACTTCACATGTTCCATGGGCCATTGATGACATTGACAATATTGGAAACAAATCGTCTAAAATGGCTTAGGCCACGGCAGTGATCGAAAGATCGATCGCCTAGTTGGCGTAACCGTTCCCCACAGCCATTTCACAGTTTTCCCTTTTGCAAGAAATTGGCCAACAGCTGCTCCAACCGGAAGACAGCGGTCTTTACTACCGCCATCGTCCGGTGAGCCATATTATCATGCCTCATGGAGTGGCATCCTTAACTCCGTAAGTGGCGTCCGTGATATTCTTGGGGTTGCCAGGATCCTTCTACAGCGATGACCAGGAATACCATAATTTCTTATTTCCAATCTGCAAAGTCTGCCTTCACTCGTAGTTTTAATAGTAATTTTTTGTTAATCTTTAGGGCATTTCTTATCCTCGTTTGCTAGTTCCTGACACTTCTCTGCCAGTTTGGAAATAAGGTTTTCGTATTCGCGGAGCATCATGCTGACTTCTTTTCTATCTTGGCTCGTTTCTCCCTTACATTTTTCCTCAAGCTTGGCGTTTAGTTCTTCGTATTCGCGGATCATCTTATCAGTTTCCATATGGTCAAATGGATCGTTCGCAACGTCTTTGCATTTCTGTAAAGGTTCATCTTGCTGCTTTTTCTTCTTTTCCGCCTCTTTCTTCTCTTTTTTTAGCGCTTCACACTGCTTTTTCAATTCTGCCTCGCCACATTTCTTTTTCATTTCCTCCTTGTTTTTTCCCCCTTCAGCCTCTTTTTTCTTAGCATCTTTCTCCTTTTTAAGCGCTTCGCACTCCTTCTTCAATTCAGCCTCAGCGCATTTCTGCTGCTCTTTCTTTTTCTTTTCTTCTTTCTCTTTCTTTTTTGATGCTTTTTCTTTCTTAAGCGCTTCGCACTGTTTCTTCAACTCAGCCTCAGCGCATTTCTTTTTCATTTCATCCTGCTCTTTCTTTTTCTTCTCTTCTTCCGCCTTCTTTTTTGATGCTTTTTCTTTCTTAACCGCTTCGCACTGCTTCTTCAATTCAGCATCAGCGCATTTCTTCTTGCTTTCATCCTGCTCTTTCTTTTTGTTCTCTTCTTCCGCTTTCTTTTTTGATGCTTTTTCTTTCTTAAGCGCTTCGCACTGTTTCTTTAATTCAGCCTCAGCGCATTTCTTCTTGCTTTCATCCTGCTCTTTCGTTTTCTTCTCTTCGTCCGCTTTCTTTTTTGATGCTTTTTCTTTCTTAAGCGCTTCGCACTGCTTCTTTAATTCAGCCTCAGCGCATTTCTTTTTCATTTCATCCTGCTCTTTCTTTTTCTTCTCTTCTTCCGCCTTCTTTTTTGATGCTTTTTCTTTCTTAACCGCTTCGCACTGCTTCTTTAATTCAGCCTCAGCGCATTTCTTTTTCATTTCATCCTGCTCTTTCTTTTTCTTCTCTTCTTCCGCTTTCTTTTTTGTTGCTTTTTCTTTCTTAAGCGCTTCGCACTGTTTCTTCAATTCAGCCTCAGCGCATTTCTTCTTGCTTTCATCCTGCTCTTTCTTTTTCTTCTCTTCTTCCGCTTTCTTTTTTGATGCTTTTTCTTTCTTAAGCGCTTCGCACTGCTTCTTCAACTCAGCCTCAGCGCATTTCTTTTTCATTTCATCCTGCTCTTTTCTTTTCTTCTCTTCTTCCGCTTTCTTTTTAGATTCATTTTCTTTTTTTTGAGCTTCGCACTGCTTTGTCTCAGCGGATTTCCGTTTCATTTCCTGATCTTTTTCTTGCGCTTTTGCCTTAGAATGATCTACAGTTGTCTTTTCTTTTTTATTTTTTGGCTCATTGCAAACTCTAGCCTCTTCGGCCGTTTTCTCCTTTTGTTTGAGCTCTTCGCACTGTGTCTTCGTTTTGGCTTCTTCGCATTTTTTTAACATTTCATATTGCTCCTTTTGTTTCTTCTCTTCTGCCATTTTTTTCTTATTTTCTTCTTCTTGCTTCTTTAACTCTTCGCACTGCTTTTTTCTCTCAAGTTCCTTCTGCTTTTCTTCCTCCTTTTTCTTCTTTTCCTGGTATTGACGTCGGCTCTCCAACATTTTCTTTTTGCATTTCGTAAGAATCTGTTGTTCTTCACATTTCTCTTTCTGTTCTCTTTCTTCGGGGGTCAAACATGGCTCTTCTTCAGATAGTTTCTTCTCGCATGTTTTTCTAAGTTCTTCCTCCATGCAACTTGTCATAACTTCGTTCTCTTTGCACTTCTGCATTCGGTCTTCTTCTTCTCGTTTCTTCTTCATTTCTCGGTTTTTTTGCTTTTGTTTGTCCGCTTCGCATTTCTTTTTCAGTTCTTCTTCAGCGCGACGTTTTTCCATTTCCTTGTCTCTTTGTTTTCTCTCTTCCTTTAAAGCTTTGCATTTCTTTTGGAAAGCCTCACTCTTACACTTTTCCAACATTTGTTTATCTTCTCCCTTTTCAGATTCGGCCTCTTCTTGACAAGTCTTCTTAATAAGTTCCTCCACTTCACATGACGTTTCGGCGAAATCGACACCATGTTTTTCGGTTAGGTGCTGAATTAAAGGACACACGTCCTTCCAGTTTTCCTGGACGCGCTCCTCAATTGGTCCCTTCGGCTTCTTTTTGGCGTCACCCTGACCTTTGCATTTATCTTCTTTTGGCTCGGGCTTTCCTCTGATATCATCGCACATCTCCTTTACTACCTTCTTGCGACATCTCTCCTTAATCTGCGCCGCAAGGCAGTCCTGGAAGCCAGAAAGTTGCTTCTTTTTCTTAGGGCTCATCCGCTTGTGGACCTCTGCAACATCGTTTAATTCCTCGCACATGCATTTCTCCATCTTTTTGGCAAATGGCGACTTAGAAGGTGGCTCGGATTCATCGGCCTGTTCTTTGGATTTCGTTCCAGTTTTCTTCGCTTCTGTTTGTGCTCCCTTTTTAGAGTCCTTGCATTTCGATTCCACGTTCTTAGAATCTTTTCCTTTCTTTTTGTCCGAACCCTTTGCTTTTGCGTCCTTTTCCTTTGGTTTGCCTGATCGTGAATTTGTTTCAGGCTTACAATCTTCATTGGGACCATTAGCTTTTTCACTTTTCTTTTTTGGCGCCTTACTAACTTTCTCTTTGGACTTTTTGGGCTTATCAGAATCTTTGCCATCAGTCTTTTTGGACTTCGATTCCTTATCCTTCTTGCAGGTTGCGTCTTCCAGAAGCTTGGTGACCTCGGCCATGCACTTTTCATTTTGTTCCCTCTCCTCACACATCTGTGCAATGGCCGCCTGTTTCTCGTGCTCCATTTCGGCCTGCTCTGCCTCGGGATCGTCGCACTTCGCCGAGTCTGCATCTGTTTTCAACTCGGAGGCACACTTCTTGACCATGTCCTTTATATGCTTCTCCTTGATCAGCCGTGCGTAGCGGCGCTTCATCTCCTGCTCCTTGCAGTACCTTTTGAGCACCTGTTTCAGGCAAGTACTTTTAATGCCCGCCATCACGCAATCCATCATATCCCCCATGGCCTTCTTCTCCTCCTCAGACATGCACTCGACCTGCTCCTTCATGCCCCTGGTCTTTACCTCGATGCACTTGTCTAGCTGCTTCTTCAGTCGAGCCGCATCCTTCTTGACCTGTTGGGCGGCGTTGCTCTTTTTTCTGGCCTCCTTGCGCTTTTGGACAGCCTTGGCGATCTTCGCTCTGTAAGCCTTAAACGTGGCGCAGTCCATCTCCGTCGGATAATCGCCGGAGTAGCGCACCGGCAGCCTCATCAGACCCACATGGAGCGTGTGGGCATGGGGCAGTCGCTTAAGGAGGTCTCTCGTGAGGCGGGAGCACATTGTTCTGTCTATAAAACTTCGCAAAGTCCCCGCGGCCTTATTAGGAAGTAAAATTTACTACAATTTTGGGTGTTTTTGATAAATTACAAATTTTGTTTGGCCGAATCGAAAGGGGAAAATTTTCCTACAAATTCGGAGATCTAAAAGGCGTCACCACACATGGTCTAAGGTTTAAAAGGGAACTATTTTTCTGTTAGACAGGTAATTCGAAGTGCTTCAAGATCTTAGAAATATCATTCGTTTCCTCATACGTACATAGAAAATACATCCCCGTAATGTTACCTGTTCCTGCTGCCAAAAAGTAGGCTGGGATGCTGTTCGCTGCAAGCACTCTTCCTGCACCGACAATTTTCCAATCTTTGCACAAACCTCAGCAATGACAACAACGCCGTGGAGCCGCAACCACGACATACTTACACACCCCTTTTCCTCCCCAGAGGAGGGGCAGAGCGGCAGACAAACAATTTTGTCGAACATAAAATCGAGCACAACTTAATTAAATGTTAAAAGCGCGACCGCAGCGCGTCTGTGGCTTCCGAAGGTGTGACTGCGATGGGGTTGCGAGAGCGGTTCCTGGCTCCGAGCAGGGACTGGAAGTGGGACTGGGAATGGGGCTGGGTCTGGGAGGAGCGTTATCACCCGGCAAGACGCTGACAGACGCTAACTTCATTTTCGGCGGTGGGCTGCTTCAAATTAGCAAACCTGTCAACTGTCAGCAGCGGCGGCGAAGGTGAAGACGACGGCAAGGGGAGTGTTTCCGAGTTGAAGTGTGGCCAGAAGTATGCGGCAGGTTGAGGGTTTGAATGTGCGGGTGTGGTGTTGCCCCCAGGCCAAGCCAAGACAATGTGCTTCAACACCTTGCCGACCTGCCACCGAGAAACTCCATTCCCCCTCCCCAAGAGGAAGTTGCTCCTCGAGAACAACGAACCTCCACGTGTGTGCGTGGTGAATTATGGCATGTCTACTTCCGCCTGCCAGCCGGCAGCCAGCCAGCCCATCATCAACGCCCCTCATTGCGCTGTTTGTAATTTGTTAATTTCCCGCATTTAGAAATTAATTTTCACTTCATGCGCCGCCAAGCAGACAACAGCAGACGTCAGACAGACAGACAGGCAGGCAGGCAGGTGAGTTTGAGTTCGAGCCTGAGTTGGCAACATGGCAACACTGTACACACAGCAAACTTGCGCCGCAATTACGAGTGCGAGTATGCCCCCCTCACCTTTGACCCCCTTCCTATCGCACTCATTGCGTATTTAAATTCCTTTATGTTGTCATTAATTTCTGCAACTTGTTCGGCATTGTCGCTGTTAATTTTTAAGCGAAAGCTCTACCCGAGCCGAGCCTGGCATGTGTTTGACACGTTTACATTTTAATTGCGCACAGGTGTACGCGGACGGACGGGGAAATGCTCATTTCATTGCCGCCTGATGTGTGCGGGCGAAAAATGGGAAATTGGGAGTGTGTGTGGGCGCCTCTGAAACTTTAATTGCTTTATTATGTCCGCCAGCCGGCAGGTGGGGAAGGTCCCAAAGAAAATCAGCGGCAAACTGGGCCAGAGTTCTGCGGTGCCTTCCAGCGGTTACAGAACTTGGTTCCTCTAAGATATATAAGGCCACTTCTGCACCCTAATTTAATTTTTTGAAAATACGAATTCCTGGTTTACAAACAAGTCTACCAGGCCTATAGACTCAGTTTTTATACCTAGCCCTATTTTGCCTAGGTTTTCTCAAAATTTAATGTTTTTAAAAATTCAAATTTAGAAAGAAAAAAAATGGCGACGATAGTGCGTCAGTTTACACGATCCGCCGTCCGCCAACTCGGACAGCCCAGGTGGAACCGACTACTCCTGAAGTCCAACATGAACTTGCACCTAGCCATTTACCAGCCAAGGCAGTTCGGCCGGAAACCCGACGATGGCTTTGAAGATAGTGAAGACCAGGAGGAGGTGAAGGCCTGCATAGATTACAAGAAGAATCCCACCATCGAGGGACACGTGCCGCCAGATTTGCCGGACCTACAGCCAGCATGTCCCCAGCTTAAAATAGCGAAGAGGCGAGAGTTCCTGAAGAAGAAGAAGTGCCAGGAACTCGAAGATAAGGAAAATAATGACCCGTGTGCTAGCTTCTCGAGGAAAAGTCTCATATGGGGAAAGCCTAAAATCCGGATCTCTTTGATCTGGCCCAAGATAATCAGTTGTCTGATGCCCCTTTTAAAGCTGAGATCCCTTGATCTAGACCTAGTATACCTCAACCAAGAGCGAACGTTCTGCAAGAAAGTCGAGCTGGAGCAAGCCTGTTTGGCTCCTGAGCCAACCCCAACAAAGCCAGTTCCACCCAAAAGCCAAAGGATGGCCAGGAAGCGCAGGCATTTCCAGGCAAAGCAAAAAAAGGAGGCGGAAGCCAAAGAGAAAGCCTTTGCCATGTTGAAGCTCGGCTCCAATTCGAACTTACAGCCCAAGGAGGACCTCAAGATCGCCAATAGCAGAGATCTGGCTGAGCAGATAAAGAAATCAGGTCCTAAGCCCTATGAGGCTTTCACCCAGCAAGCCGAGATCAAACAGCTTTTGAAAGTTATAAAGGGCAGGTGCAGGAAGAAGAGTGAATTATTCGAGAAATCTAGAGAAGCCGAGAGTAAGAAGAAAGCTGAAGAAGCGGCTCTGAGAAACAAAAACAAAATGGCTCAGATTAGGAAGCTATGCGAAGAAGCCAAGAAAATTAATGCTTTCAAAATGGCTCTACTAAAAAAGCTGGGTGATGAAGCTCAGCAGAGAACGCAAAGTATAGAAGCAAAGCCAAGAAATCAATCCGAACAGCCCGCTGCCCAGAGGAGGCATACGGCTCCGAAATGCAACACAGAGTTGCCGGATGGCAACTGAGTGGGCTCAAAGTATAATTTTGGACAACTTTTTCCCCTTTGAAAACAACAAAAACCAATTGGCTCTACTTTCAATAAAGTAAAGCAGAGCTGCCATAAATTATTATTAAAGTTGCTAACCGTTTTGGCCAGCAGGAAGAGCATTTTCTTCTTTGGTAGTAAACCACTAAGGTTGGATGGAAAACAATCCCTTAAATACTTTGGCTTCGTCTCCAGCCGGATAAGCGCAACTATTGTGTGGCCGAGGAAGTGCCTTCAGAGCCGCTAAGTACAGACTTGGCAGAACCGACAAACAATCGTGCCCGCTTGTCTTGTTTATTGTCATCCATCAAGCCAGGGCCTCCCGACGGGTAGGTGTTCTGTCTTCGGGCCTCGATTTGCGGCTAGCACCCGTGGTTAAGGCAAGGTGGATAGCTGGGCCGGTGGGAGCTTAACGAGTGGAGTTTGCTCATTCAGCCACCGAGCCGAGCCAAGTCGAGTTGAGTCAGTCCCCAGCCTCGGCCTCACTTAGACATTTTGCTGTGCATTTGCCATTGTCAACTATTGTGGCCCCGCTTTTCCGCAAAGCCATCTCCATCTCCATTGCTCTTGTAACATTTCCACAAGGTTCCTTTTTTTTCTACTCTTCTACTGCTGCTGCTGATTGTTGCACAAGGATTTGTCAAGGATAAAACACTCGAGGGCAGTCAGTCGACATTGTCGTCATTGTCGTCACCGTCGCTGCTTCATCATGATTACGTGTATGATTATGTAGCGACAGTTGTCCTGGCTGTGTCTGAATGACACAAGGGGTTGGGTGGGGTTGGTCTGGGATGGGCTTGTGCCTGGCCACACGCCCCCTTACACGTCACAACGCCCTAGCCACGTGGCACTAAGCGATGGCTATTGATTTTCCCGTAAGGATTGCAACCGAATGCGATGCTAAGTGCAGACCGTACGGCCTTGGGTTTTCTGTGGACATTGCACTGAGCAAAACCTGCGAATCGTAATCTTTTGACATTTATTTTAATGAGTTAAGAACATACATCTTGGAAATCCTTAATAAGTAGTGTTGAGCAGTGCCTCTAAGCAAGACATAGGGCCTCTCTTGTTCGAAACAGCATATTTTCAGCACTCATTTCCCAGTGTATTCCTCCACAAGTACTTATTGCTATGCAGGCGACATAAAAGCGTTGCCATATTAAAGCATTTCCGCTATATGCGACCTTGGGGCTTACATGCCAGTTCATCTATTTGCTCCATAATGTTCTGTTCTGTTCTGGCAAACATGCTGCATATACTTTATATACTATATATTCGGTGTCCCCAATTTCGCTATTCGGGGTGTCGTCGTCGTCGCAAATTCGTTTGGCAAACACATTTCACCCGCCAAATGCGGAAGGCGAAAGGCGAAATGCAAAAAGCGCGGAATGCAAAATGCGAAATGTGAAACGCCAAATGCCAAATGCCAAATGCAAAGCAGGCAGCCAGGCAAATGCGGTTGCCAAATTATATGCAACTGTGGTCGCGTGGGCGTGGCATGCGGTTAGTTAAACAAAAATGCCGTAGATGTCGCCGGAACAGGACCCCAAAAACTGGGTCAGTACACGGTCGCCAGACGAGGCAAGAGGAACTCCTACCTCGGCAGTCAAAAGTTCAACAGGGAGCGGCGGCTGCCGCTGCTACATTGTCTCGAACACTCGAGCAAAGTTTCGGTTTCACTTTGGTTGTTGCCCCGATTTTTGCCACTTCGTTGTTGTTGTCAACTTCCGGCGGCTGCGGCAGTCCTGTCCTGCCCTGGTCCACCTGTTCCGCTTGATTGTTCACAGGACACCACCAGGACTCCTGCTTCTGCTTTTGCCTCTGCTGCTGCTCCTGCTCCCTCGTCATGAAAGGTTAATGACGGCTGCTGTCAGCGCCGAAGGTCACATCTAACGCTGTTAGGGCCACCCACAGGACATCCCACCCCCGCCTTTGTTGGGTCAAGCGTGCAGCAGGTAAAAGTTTCGCTGGTAGCGGGAAATCCACAGGGGAGGGGGCATCTCCGGCCGGAGTCCTTCGTACGGACTAAATAGCAGGGCTTCTGGGAGGCGACTCCGGGGGGTAGCAGAGCGTAAAAGTTAAATGAAACGAAACACGTTAATGGCCTCCCTGAGAGGGGAAGAAGAGGAGCAAGAGAATGGAAGCTGGGGGAGCTGAAAGGTGAGAGGTCGCCCCCGTTAAAGCCACGCTCCCGGGAAAAGTGAAAACAGTCTTGCCAGCGAGTTGGCAGTCCCGGCCAGGAGAGCCATGTAATAAAATGATGTCGTTGGCTTAGTTAAGTAGCAATAAGCTGGAAAAGGCAGCCCGAAATGCGCTGGCAGAGGCGTCGCCTCTCAATCACGGCGTTTCAGGTTGATATTAAGTTATTTAGGCTGTTTAGACGGCAAGTGGAGCGCTCCACGGAGCTCCTCGGATTACCCGGCCTGGTCATTAAAGCCAAATTACGGTATATTAGGTTACCGCTTCTGGGGCGGGGTGAAAATTCAGTGGACTTTTCGCCAAAGTTTTCCGGAGCTAGCTTAAAGCCGGGAGCCCCACTACAGCGGCTAATAGTGCCACTAATTAACATCCTTGAGGCTGTGTGGTCCTGCCTTAAAGCGAATCAATTTTCCTTCCACCAAACTTGCACTCTTAGCAATTGTTAAAGCACACAATGGAAGCAGGACGAAGGAGCAGCCGAAAATAAAATACAAAAAAGTACAAAGAATTATGTATCACTTCGTTACGACTTACTTCCACTTAATTTATTTTCACTTGCTTTTACCAGCAAAGGGCGAGCGAAAGAAAAGCCGAGCGGATGGGACGGCAACTTTGTCTGAGCCCCAAAAAAAAATAAGGATAAAAATGTAAAGAAGTCGAAAAGCAGAAGGAATCGTACGATATACAGTTGGTCAATAAAGTCCGCACACATGCCGGCCTTAAAAGGATGTTTTATTTATGGCCGCGGGACAAAGGAAACATTAAATAAAGGTTAATGTGAACTTATTTAAAGGATTTCTCATAATTATTATCGGGTTTCGACTTCTTACACAAGGAATTTTATAGTTTAAAAGGTTTTTTATATTCGACAATTTTTTTTTTTTTTACAAGGGAATAGGAAACAGCAAATGGAGTAATTAAATAATTTTATAAAAAATTAAAAATTAATTTATTATTTCTGTTTATTTTATTGCAAAAGTTAAGTTTATCTCAAAGTCAACCACAAAATAACTTTTTTTAAATAAAAATTTAAAAAAAATTCAATAAATTTATTTTTTTGGGATTATAACAATAATTTTATCTAACAATCATTAAATTCTAATAAATTTTAATTTTCTTATAATTTTACTATTATTTTCAACCTATTCAAATAAATCTTAGTTAGCTAATCGACTTCTCTGGCCCACTGTCCGCTTTTAGGCCAGAGAAGACAAGGACCTCAGGCGTTAACTAACAACTGGCAACAACTTTGGACGGGCTTCCCGTCTGTCTGTGAAAAGCATTTGACTTTGCATTTGTCTGCAACTGCAGGTTGCAGCGCTTACGGCCTTCACACCTTTGTGTGGAAATGCCGGTGCTCGCATTTCCCATTTTCCCAGCACTTGCACTGGCACTCGGGCTTCGGGCTTCGGAAAACTCCTTTCGAGTGGCCGGCGCATTAATTCCCAGGTGTGCAATTTAGTGTGCGGCCAATTTTTGTCGGTCTGGACAGGAAGAGCGGCGGCAAGGAAGCCCGGCGGCAGCGGCGTCTGTTACGTGTTGACCACACGGAGGTGTTTTTTGCGGACTCCCGGTCCCGGGCAGTTCCCAGGCGCTTGAAATGTTAGGAAATTTTAAACGGAAGTTCGCGTTTTCTGCCCTTTTCGGCTCGTATTGTTAGCTGCGTTTCCGCTTTTCTGGTATTTTTGGCCACGCGCACCGCGGGCCGTTCACATTTCCGGCTAAAACAACACGGCTTAAAGAGCCGCTGCTACCCGTTTTCCTTTTTTGTCTTTAAGGAAAACTTTTCGGGCGAACTTTTACGGGAAACTTTTCAATGGACTACATTTGCTATGCCATGTTTAACAGCAAAAGAAACAAAGAAAAAATGAGAGCAAAAAATGACAGCTCAGAAGGTTAAGACGAAAACTATAGACAGCAAAATGGCGCCAGCTATAGTTTTCAGAGCCCGACAAAGGCGGCGGCGGGGAAAGGAAACTAAATGCATAAGGAGCGGGCGACTTGCGAAACTTTTAATAATTGCATTTTCCTCAAGCACATCGGCGCACATAATAAACTCCGCCTCGAACTGGACGCAGCCCGATCCCCGAGAAGCCACCACCGCCGCCGCAGTGCATCGACACCAGAGCAACAAGACAATCAGCAAAGAGATACTCGGCAGCCGTGGAGACCGGGACCAGCACCAGGCGATGACTGGGCCGCAAAAATAACCGAAAAGTAATTCCCCACAAAAGTAAACTTGAGCGCACAAAAGTCGAGTTTTAAAATAAACTTGCAGCCAGCTCTATTTTTCTTTCCATCGGGATCGGGGAGGCGCTGCCGGCCGGCGGGGGCGCCCAGCCACTTGAGGCACAAAAGGCGCATTTTCTATGAAAGAAAAGTGGCTAACTAAGTCGCCGACTCTGCAGGTCCATTCTCGCCCCCCCCCATCATCATCATCATCAACATCATGCCGCAGTTTCAAGAACCTCAAGAGCTCTGCTCCTCCGTTGTCTTTCCGATTTGTAGGGCAGGGAATACTTTCTGCTCTTGAAAATATTTTAGATCCAGAAATTTAAGTCGCCAACATTTACTTACATTAATCTCAAGACCTGCAAAAGCCTTATAATGGCTAAGTTGTAAGGAAAAACTCTTAAGCGACCTTAAATATCTCCCAATTAATTTGAACAAATAAATTATCTAAGAGAGCAAAGCAAAGGAATACAGAAAGTGTTAAGAAGACGTTAAATTTAGACCTTTAAAACCTGATTTTTTAGACATCTCATTTAGAGATTTTTAAGTTATTTTGTTGTGACTTTAAATTAAAAAAGTCCCTGAAAAGATTTCCCTTCCAAACCCTTAAAACACACACCCTGCAAAGGCATGTTAATCAAATATCCCACATACGTCGTCGGTGGATCTAAACATTTTACTATCCAAGATTTCTTTCTACAAAGTGCCAGAGAATTTGAGGAAAACTTTGTTGGGTTGTCCCAGATTTCATAACGGAATAAAAAAGAACATAAAACAGCATGGCCCATGAAACACTCCAATAATCCGGGAAATGTGGTGGATCACCATCTGATTTCATCAGCGCATCGGCCCTAATAAAATGCTAGCCCTGCCGAAGCTTCTTCACTTTATTAAATATGAAATATGCCCCATCGCCGCTGTCGCCTCGCATTATGCATTGCCATCGAGTAGGAGTCCGTGGAAGGTCCTTTGGCATGGCCGGCACGTAGCAAACGCACAACGCTTAAATACAGGAGATAAAATGCTGGACATTAAGTCCCCGAGGGCGAAGGACATTCGGTGGAAGCAACGAGCGAGCGTTCAAGGTAAAAATGCCAGGAGACGAATTTCGAACGTTATATCTAGCAAATTTCATGCTCAACTTGCGTGTGTCAAAAATGCGAAATTGAAATGCTTTAAAATTTAACATTTCCCCCCAGCCCGGGCACACATCACACACAAAGTAAGGGGAAGATGCAGCTGCCAGAATGCGGCAAGGACTCTGGCTCCGGCTCCGGCTCCTGCTCCTGCTCCGACTCCGTGTTGGTGGGCAAACATTTTTATGCAAAAATATTTTGCATGTCACTCCCATCTGGCAGGAGTTGGGCCCGAGGAGGGCGGGTCTGTGTATTTGCCACAGACTTTTTGCATGCATAACAAGTCAGCGAAGCGGACGGACGGACAAGCAAACAGAGCAAAGACCGGGGAAAAGCGGAAAAATCGGGGATAGGGCAGGGGAAACCCACGCTTACAGACACACACGAGAAAGAAAAGGCAGCGCCGGCAGCTCGCAGGAAACGCATACAAAACTTTAGCGGGAGCCGGTCGCATTTCGTAATCTTTGCAAATAAACGCGTGAAATTCCAAGGCGCACCGCAGTGGGGCATGCCGGGGATCATGGGGAACCTGGGGGAAAGGGCGATGCCACACAGTCGCCAGTTGGCCGACATGTGCGCGCCATTTTTGGCATACAGCTCACACGCGAAATTGCGCATGCAGATTAAAATTCTTGAACGCGCATTTCCGTTTCCGTTCTCTCTGTGCGTCTGCCGGGGAATATGTCGGGCATTTGCCTCGCTTTTCCAGCAGGATGAGGTTTTCCTGAGTGCTTGAATATCCACTTCAGTTCGGCTTTGGACCAGATTGCTGCAACCTTGAAGTGACCCCACGTAGAGTGGTTGGGGATATTTTATATAAAAGTTGACCCGTTCAGGGGTTGGGAGTTTAACAAGGAGATTATAATTTAATTTCGATCTTAATTTTACTATCTTTAAATGTAATATATAAGTAAATCATCCGAGTTCTTGTCATATTACTCATACGCCGTGGGGTGCACAATGGATATTGACATGCGTGGTTGTCCTCATTAAAAGATACAAGCTATAATTGCAATTTTAGCAGTTTCTGATGTGAAAAACCAACTAATTCCAAAAGGAATATAATCACGAATCACAGCATATTACTCATACGCCGCGTGGACCCAATAGACATTGACAATCGCATATTACTCATTGCATTAGAGCGGGGCAAGCGTGGGGAGCCGGGATGATTTCAGCTTATTTACAGACCATTGCCATTGATATGCAGGACCTGTTTTTGGTTGCTCGTAGGATGGCCAGGGTCAGCTTTCCTCGCTCTTGACCCTCCCTCCGGCTCCACCCCGTCCCAAAAACGCACATCAAATAAAAGAAATGGCTTTGTTTGCTGCATGTGGCATAGAATATCAAGCCGGGGAAGCGGATCCCAAGGATGCGGACGAGAACGAGGATGTGTGCTGGCGCATAAATAATGTGACCTGCCTGACTGCGATTATCTGTGAACTATTTTTCACACGTTGCCGGCATACAAAGTGGTCCATTCTTTCTGCCCCGGCAATATACGAGCTGCTTGGCCTTCTGAGGCCACTTGGCCCATTCATTTCCACATCCTGCCCAATCCGGTGGCACACACAAAAAAACGAGAACATATGTATGTGCGAAGGGTATATCTTAGCAAGCTTAGTTTCTTCGGGATACTTACATTGTACTGAAATAATGAACAATAATATCCAGAGGCGTCGATCGAATGTCGGTCTCATGACTTCATCACTTGTCCCGGAATTCGTTGGTATGGATTTTCCTTGTCCGAAGCTCAGCTCAGCTTTCAGATTGGCACATGTGTACTATTTGTTGAGGGATCTGCAAAACGGAACGGAACGGAGCATTTAATTAGAATGGAGAGCACGGCCAAAGGTAAAGGGTTTAAGCCAATTAAACAGTAGCCTGGCTACGCCACCGGCTACCTCGGGTGTGCGAGTGTGCGAGGTAAAAATCTAACAACTGTTTGCACATGAAATTAATTAATTTTCCACAAAAACTTTGTTGCATAAGGCTAGGCGGATTAACAGGAGGCGGCAGGGAGGGAGCGAGAGAATAGAGACATCAGCCAACAGGCAACATTTTCGACAGCATTTTGTCTGCAGTGTTTGGAGTGCAGGGCAAACAAAGCCGCCCGACGAGCGGGATAGAGGGATAAAGACAGACAGACAGAGAGAAAGAGAGAGGGAGAGAGTGCCACTCAGACCGTACAAAGCGTGCGCATACTTTTCCCCAACAGTGTTTCGTCCATGTGTGTGGGTGGCGACACAGGACAAACAAAATTAGCAGCAAAGCTGACGTAGCTGTTAACGAATTGACGTTGCCAGGACTCCCAGGACCCAGTCCTCTCATAACTGTGACAATCCCCTAGTCCTAGTCCTGATTATGCATATGCGAGCCGAGACCCATCAAGCAAAGGACCCGGAGAACTCCTGTGGAATGTGAGCCCAATCAAAAGTCAGTGGCAAAGTTTTCCGAGCTGCAGATTCTTCCGGTGGCCCGACAAGGGCTTACCAATTTGGAGTTGTTACGGCGCCGGCTTTCTATTTTCCGAACCTGACCAAGGACCTCGGACGACGGACGATGGTCACAAAGGTTTCGATTTACATCGAAAGCAATTTCGAGAACAAAATGTACAAGCAGGGGGCTGCACGGCACCCTCGGCTCGGTGGAGTTCACTGCCACTGCATTCAAGCGCCAACTAATGCAGCCCGAATTTGGTTGTGCGGCACCAAACAGTGGATGCAACAACAGCAGTGTGTCTGTGGCCACCACAGCACAACAATGACACAGCATTGGGCAAACATATCACGCGATCAATTTGTCAAACAAGCTGCAACAGCAGCAACAATGCAAGCTGCATCAGCAACAGAATCTGCAACAACAGCAGCAGGAGCAGCAATAGCAGCAACAAGACCATAGGCAACATCATCAGCAATATTAGCAGCAAAAAATAGTGGAAATAAAAGCAATATAATGGGATCAAAGGCCACGACCATGGAATACCCTAATACAGACTTTCATTGGTTCATAACAAAGGTACCTCACCTTTCTTTCCTTTTTTACATTTATATTAATTAATATTTATTCCAATTACCCAACAAAAAGAGGATCTAACGCTGCTCAACTGGCCATAAGAACCCCAACAAAGGCAGCAACACTAGGGGTCAACTGAGCAACATAAATGACGTAACCGCTGCCATGGGGAATACTAAACACAGAGTAGAGAATACTGAATGCCGGACGACATGGTGGAGCCAGCGGAGTGGCAAACAATCGGGGAAATCCCCACAAAATTGACAGCAGCAGCAGCGGTGACATTTGACGCACATCATCAATATGTGACTCTGCATGTTGCCACTGGTCGGGTGGTGGGGGTTGTATTTGTTGCAGCTGCTTCTGGGATACCATGACATGTCGCACAGCTGTCATTATGCAGGGCATTCAAGGCAGCCAAGTGACAAACTATTACATGCCGATTGTATGTTAACAACGGCTCCAAGGTTGACCAAGGTCCGGCTAAAAGCCCTATTGAAACCAACCATTCTTTATCGTATAAATCAAGCATATGGCGCGGGAAAAACGCAACAGAATCGGGAAAAACAACCATTTACAGCAGGTGCCAGCCGAGGGAAGGGGAGGAGCAAGCCACCACATTTTCACATTTCTCGCACGTTTGGCCGGCGAAACACTTAAAAACCGGTGTGCTCTCCTTATTTATGGTCGAAATGTGAACTGGGCATTGGTTTAAGAGCTTTAAAATGGCCCGAGATATATGGGATTTAAGAGGAGGTAAGGGCTTGGAGTTTAAGTTGCTTAAAGTTAACTTAAAGAAATTGTTTAGTAATTAAATTAAATTTAAACTAAATTGGAGATACATTTAATACTCTTCTCAATGATTATGACATCCTTCCAAATCAACAAATCAATACTCGTGTGAAACTAACAACCTGATAAACTGTGAAATTATTAGAAATGTTACTCTGGCCAGACCAATTAAAATAAAAGCAAGAGCCAAACTGAAATGGATACAGGACTGCAGCTGCAATTTTAATCGCCACAATTTTAAAGCCATCATTGGACAGCTCATGACGATGCCAGCGATACATAAACAATAAAAGCCAATGGTATGTAAATTTTACCAATTTACCGCAACAATGCAAACGATCCCTGGGATACGGCTCGAAGTACCAAATTGGCGGGACAGGACGAAGAGCGGGGGGCGGAGATTTGGCGGCAACCAGATGAAATCATTTCGTGTTGAGCTTTGTAAAACTGCAAATGTGTTGCATCCGAACATTTTCGGTTAACCGCAAAACATCAGGCAATAGAGACAGGGCAGTGGGGCAAACGCAAACGCAAATTAAATTTACAAAACCGAGCGACCGAGAGGAAGAGAGAGATGAAGGTTCATTTGCTGCTCGAATTTTTATACCACACCCAGCAGGAAAATCGCTTCATTGACAAGCTTCCCAATAATTGACACCTTCTGCCGCGGGAAGAGCGAAGGGGAAAACAATGAGTCCGGAGGAGACAGTGGGCCATCCATCTGCGGTCGCTTTATTGATTGCAAACGAAATGCCAGTGGCCAGTGGCCAGTTGCCCAGGCAAAATAAATAAAGATAAACAGAGTCTTAATTTTTCATTTCGCCATGGCGGAATTAATATGCGTAATTAAATTTTTCGGTCCTTGTATTTGCTTTTAATTTTCCAACTTTTAATTGCATTTGCTATTGGCAAACATGGAGTGTATCTAATGCATTCCATTATTACCGATTATTCCGATTCATACTGAAGCTTTTCTGTTAAATAAGCTTTAAGTGGGGCGGAGTTGGAGCTTAGTAATTTCCACCTGGGGGAATCCGACACCTGGCTCTGAAAGGTTCGAAACAATGCCCCAGCTGACACTTGTAGGTGGCCTTAATCAAAGGCAACACACTAAGCGAAGGACGAAGGGGAGCAGGAGTCGGGGACAAATGCAAAGTTAAACAACTTCGACAGTGTTGCCACCGAGTTCATTGTTCAGGGGGGCTAGGGGGCAGGGAACCTCCAACCCCATATTTGCCATTCTCCATTTTCCATCCTTTCACTATCACAATTTCCACATCGACGCGCAGCCTGCCCGCCTCTCCTCCCTCCCAACGAGCCACTTGAACAAATTTTTCTTTGTCTTCGGCGGTGCCCCCACACTTTCAACAGTTTCCCCTCCGCTTTCCCACCGACAACATGACTTATGTGGCTTGGAGCGAAACAAATGTGGAAAGCACAAAAGTCAACATATTGAATAATGATTGGTAGGCGAAAAAACGAGCCCTCCTCCGAATCCAAAGGCGGCAAAGTTGGAAATGGGTTTCCCTATATTTCCCATTATTCCTTTGTCTGCTTTATGCAAGAACATTCTGTTCTATTCTGTGTTGTGCTGTGTTTTGTTGTGAGTTCCCCCTCGTCCTGCATAATCATAGGCGATAAATTTTTGCTGCAAAAAATTAATGATGCGAGTTTCGTTGTTGTGGCCTTTATTGTTTCCGCCGGCTTTTCCTGTTCTCTGCTGAATTTTAATCGAATTTTTGAACTGCTCACATGTGTATGTGAGCCGCTTTCGTTGTAATCGATAAGCGTGTCCTGTCCGCTAAATGATTGATATCCCAGGCGAGCTCCTCCTCTTGCTCCTGAGAAGGATTTGTGATTAATCGGAAGCGAGTTTGCATTCATCGTCCGAAACTTGGGATTCAGCAAAACCCAAGAAGACGAGAGAGCCAGCTTTAAGCCAAAGCGAAGACAGCTGAATGCCAAGTCAAGCCAAGTCAAGACAATGGCCAGCAGCAGGCAACTGGCATGTTGCCATGTGGGTTACCTGGAAACTGCCGGAGAATGCCATTCGATTAGGCCAGGGTGTGCCGTAGAAGCCCCATCAGGCGATGGCATATGGCCGAGGAGGTCGTCGGAAGCCAAAGAAGCGTCGAAAAACAATCAACCAGCTAAATTGAAGTCAACAACTAGTTGCAGACAAGTTTACCCAGAAAATGACGGACTTTGGAAATATCAAAGTCTAAGGAAAAACTGAAATTGACGACTTATCGAGCAGTAAACTAATTTAGAAAATTTTTTTATTAACAAAAACTGAAAAGTAAGTAACCTTTATGCCTTAATAAATTGTCTATAAAACCAATAAAAATTATGACATTTATTTTCTCAGCTTTTGGAAGTTGTCATAAATGGTTTAATGATAGCTATAAGCAAAGCTTAATCTCTTAAAAATTTTCTCTTAAAGTCATTTATCAAAGAAAGCCGTATGTTTAGAGAAAGTAACAAGATTTTATGCATTGGTAACTAGTAATTAGAAGCAAAAAAAATTAAATATTCTAATCCTTTGTTATTAAGAGTTCAATGATAGATATTAGCCTTTAAAATATATAAATAAATAAATGTTCAAGCATAATCATCACTATGTTTTGTTTTTTTTTTTTTAAATATTTCTTTAAAATCTTTGTAATTCCTTTAAGACGTAAAATTATTAACAGAAATTCCCAGTAACTGATTTTTAATGACCCGAACATTTATTTAAAGGCTATATGAATAATTTATTGTGTTAAAATAAACCTGTGGAAGCTTTGAACTTTTCAATAAATAAATAAATAAAATAAAGTCTCATATTTCCTCTATCAACTCGAGTTAACCCAGCTCCGAACTCTCTGGGAAACTTCAAAGTGGTCCAACTCAGTGGCAGCTTTTTATCTGAATAATCTGGTGAGGAGGGCTCGATCGAAAATCAAATTAAAATTTCATGCTTTAACATTGTGTTCCAATTACTGTCGCAAACA